CTATCCCTGGCATGCTTGCCCTGGTGTCTTTTCCTGCCAATGCAGTTGGATGCTTAAAAAAGAAGGGTTTCAAAGAGGTCCTAAAAGATCTCCCCAACTGGGAGGATGGGCATTAAAATGGCAAATGAAGTTCAAGTCTAAAGTGATCCGTGCTGGGACAGAAAATGCCAGCATTGTGTATGCTTGAAAGGAATCCATGCAGGCAGCTAATCATCGACCAGGAAAGAGTTCTTGGAAATGTGGTGGACAGATCAGGGAGAATGTTGCCCCAGTGCTGTTGTTTTTTTTAAAAAGGGAAAGGTATAATTAGAAAATGAACTGAAAAATAAAACTGTCATACTGTCATATTGTCCTAATCTAAATCGATGGCGCAAGCCTGCTTGGGATACTACAATTCTTGTCACTGAACGTTGAAAAGATATTGAAGAGTTGCAAAAGTATAGGAAAGGGCAACCACAACCATCAAGAGGCTGGTGCAATTCCCTTACACAAAATATTGGTAATGTCTAGGACTGTTTTGCTTAGGAAAAGGGCTAGGGGAGACAAAGAATAACAGTCTTAACGGAAAGCCAGCTGAAGCTTCCTTACTGCTACCACAATCCAGCAGGGAGGTCTTGGGCTCCAAAATGCAGCTGGACAGCCATCTGCTAGGGATTTTAACTGAGATTCCTCCACTGAGCATGGGCATTGACCCAATGGCCTCACTGGCCCTTCCAAACTATGATTTTTGGATTCTGTGGCATGGCAGTGAGCTGCAAAAGTATGTCTTGTGTGAAGGAAGCAGATAGGGAGAATTTTTTCTCCTGCTCCTTTAATACTAAAACCCAGGCATCATGCCATGAAGTTGAACAAAGGGAGTCAGGGCAGATAAGAGGAATGCTCCACATAGAACTTGCCACTACAAGAGGCAGCGGTGGCCACCAATTGGAAGCGGATGGATAAGGGCTGTGTTGCCATTGCTCCTCAAGCTCGCCTGAATTGCCACGGCTGCTTTCTTGGGGAAGAACAGGGGGTGCAGAAGGGGGGGGGGGGGGGGGGGGGGGGGGGGTGTAGAGGGGAGGCAGCAGTTACAGCAATCAAGACATATTCTTAAAACACGTTTAATAAATCATACATGGTCTTTCTTTTTCTCTTTGAAAAGTCCTGTTGATGCTTCAGTGATCATTTAAAAATGCTTCACTATACTGAGAGTTAGCAAAAAGAATTCCACAGATTATACTTCTCTCAAGCAGTGTCTGCCAACAGCATAATGAGGCAGTGCAGTGCAGGAAAGTGATGGTTGCTATTTCCTAAATCGCCAGACTGCAGAAGTAGTATAGCACGAGCCCCAATTTCTTCTTCTCAAGATCATTATCATAAGAGTTACCCAGGAACATTAACCCTGAGCCACAGATCTGGAAATCTGTCATATTATAAGGCAAGAGAATGTATCTTTTCTCACAGCGCAAGGGCATTTCCAACTTAATACCTGGTCAATTTTTAATCCAGAATCTAAACACAATGTTCTTATATACACTGTGTGCAAGAGGTGAAATGTATGCATGATTAGGACACATTTCTTGATAATTAGACATACATTTCATAAAGTAGCCTCAAAAAACCCAGAAGAACAAAAGAAGCCACTAAATAAATGTTACAAATGAACTTTATATGAAAGCACCTCCAAGGCTGGCTCCGCTATAGAGAATGTTGTTACAATGGTCTCAGTGTGAAAAAATATTCGAACAACCAGTTCTCATGTAACCAAGGACCAGTTCCCATTTTCAGCTTAATCCTTAGATTGTGCATGAAACAGCAGAAGATGGCTGTGCCCCATATGGAGAAATGGTGGTCAATTCGGACGTACTTTAAGAGTTCCTGGTTAAGTCAGGCTGTTGATCCTATTCACATCCATGCCCACAGTAAGAGCAAGAGTCACATCAGGGGAACATCCCATCCATTCATGCCAAGTTGCTTCCATGTTAAAATAATGACATGACATAAAAGTTTGTTTATCCTTAAGGGTGTGGATCAATTTGTAGTTAGACTGGGGTAAGCTGAGATCTGGTTGTTGGAGACGACCAATGTTTTTTTCTCTGTGAAGGCACACGTGTAAGTGCCATAATATGTTCACAGGTTAATGTAAAAAGAAACACAGCAGTGAACACAGAAGCAGAATGGCCAATGGCATCAGCTGAGAACCCTGAATCTCCAGCTTGAAAGGATATATTTTATTTTGGATGACAGAAAATGAAACATATCTACGGCACATAAATTTTGCCCTTCCTCCAAGGCACTTGGAATAATATGCATGGACCCACTCCCCATTTTATCTTCACAACAGCCATGAGACATAGTTTCAGCTGACAGTGGCTGACTAAAGGCGATCTAGTAGCTGAAGCGGGACTTGAGCCAGGTTGTGTCTGCTCTGACTTGATATTCCCAGCATCACACCAGATCTTCACTGAATGAGTCCAGATATTGTTTTGGGGTCGCTAACTGAGGCGAGGCTGCACAATGCTCTAACCTGGCATCACTGAGACAGGAAAAAGCTGATTGACATTACAAAATCTTTAAGAAAACATTGTGATATTTGCATTGCTTGCTTGAGCAGGCATCCGTCTGCTTTGGTTACCAAGGAACTGATAAAGAAGGTTACATGGACCACATACTGGCAGCAAATGATTGAAAGTGGGATCGTCACATTTAAAACTGAATTGCCATCTTTAGGCAATTTAGCTACAAATTAATGATGGGTGAGTGCCTTCATTGCAATTAACTTTGGGTTTTAAAGCTTTCTTAGAGACCACTGCATTCCTTTTTAAAAGGTGACTTCTCCAAGAAAGTGGATCTTGACATGTCTGCGGGAGGCGCCTGCCAGTCCTCCTGACTGGCCCTGAAATACACTGACATATGCAAAGGTGTTGGAGAATTGGCCGCAGGGGTGGCTGGCTGGTGATAGCAGATGCCTTGAGGTCCTTATTTTCAAGGTCTGGACACTGGCAACCTTGCAGAGTATCCACTGCCTTCCAGTTGAAGTCATGGAGATATGGAACACTAGACCTGTGCATTCCAAGGGAGAAGGCCTTCCTTGAACATGCTCCAAAACAATTAGGTGTTACGGATGAGTCCTTATATGGCCAACCATCCTACCACTAGATCTCCGCTGCTGAAGGGTAAGTTTGGATAGAATCAGGGAAGGGGAGCCAACACGGATTGCTAGCAGGGACCGCTCTTTGAGCTGTGGTGAATACCATAAAGTTGTGCCTTGGCTCATGAGGAGCTCAGAGGAGAACTCTAGAATTCACTGATAAAACTCACCCTCCCCACCCCAACACACACACTTTTCAAAGTTTGGTAGCATCACTATTGTAAATAGGCTCTTGAACGAGTAAGGGAAATAATGGGTGGTCATCTGGATTATTGCTTTTTTCACTATCTTATGGATGACTGTCCATGGGTATGGCACTTCACCCCCCATGATTAGCAGGAAGCATCTTCTGAATCTATAATTAACAAGGCAATGATCAAGCAACATACCATCTGACTGCCCACCCAATGTAATATGTTGGAAATGCAGCAAGGAAGCACATTGCAAATAGATCCACTGCACACATATATGCACACATCAGAAGCAAGAAGCATATGCTAAACAGAAAGTTGATCTTGCATACTGAGTATAAAAGCGAATTGTAAATTAATGCACAACATGGCCCTAGAGATTCGAAGTCAATATTTAATTGGATCGGGAAGGCAAAAAACATAGCAGGTAGCAAAAGAAAGGAATCTGATATAAATCAAAGCAGGATCTGGACATCGAACATGGTGTCATACACAGCTATTAAACTGCACCATTCTCTGTCCAAGTGAAATCGGGAAGGATCAAGTGAAGGGACAAATCTTATATCAAGTTTCAAGGCCTGGAGTTTGATTGCATTCAAAGCCAACAATGACCAAGAACTCTGACAAAGTAAAATTCATTTTCTTTCCCGTGCATCATTTCTTTTTAATCACCAGCTAAAAGTAGACAGATATTTTCCCCCAAAAGTCAATAACACAAGGTACATTTTAAAGGTGGATTTTTAAGGAAATTACATTATGACAGAAACCAAGGGACAAGCTAATGACCATGCACTAAGGAAGTTGAAAAGTTCTGTATGGCAAGCTTTATACATCACAAACTACCTCTTCCCTAATCTATTTTGGTTATTCCACTTATGCTTCAGTAAAATGCTTATAGTACCAGACTCCAGATATGAGTTCTGTAAGGAATATTCAGAATAACACAACAGTTCATCACATTCTTGCGTTGCCAAAGTCTACAATTAACAACCTGAACTGCAAAGCACTTTAATTGTTGTAACCATTTGAAAATAAAAACTTTCTAGGAATGTGATTTTGCATTAAAAGACACTCACCTGCGTTGCAGAAAACACTTGCACAATATATATATTTCCAAGACCAACACTGCAAAATAGCTTTCCTATTAACCAGTTCATTTTCTCTGGAAATACCTTAAACTGGACTCATGCATTCCGCTTCAAGGCACCAAGCTCAACGTAAAAACAGAAATTGGCAGTGTGTAACATTTTCCAAATCTGCTTACTATTCAGAAGTCCAGAAAAGCATAATGAATCTGTCAGCACAATATCCAGGCTTCTGTCTCCTCGCAAACAAAAACAATTGCATCTCAGTTTGCACTTGCCATTTGTTTCAAATCCCTCGACAATATGTACTACTAATTACTGTAATGTTAATACAGGATATGCAGAGACAACAATGCAGTGCATCATTCCGAGAGCATCTGCGCTGTATTTCTGCCATCAAAGCGGAGTATAATTGCAGGTTAGTCTACATAATAAGACATTGAAAGCCACAGAATATGAACCTTTCCTCTTTTAAAAAGGAGCCTTTCCAAACACAAAAAGGAACAGAGGCAGCCGCAGTTATGTATAGAAGCCTAACCAATACAAAGAGAGTTGCATAAGGCAAGAACCAGTTAAAATCAGAGGGTTTCTTACCAAGTACCCCAAGCCGATAGTTGACGGTGATGACTATCACATTGCCATAACTGGCCAGCACGCTGCCATCATACAAATTTCCAGTGCCTTCCATGTAGGACCCTCCATGAATATACACCATCACTGGTTTGGGCCCCCCACTATCTCGAATATCTGGAAGAAAAGCATTGAGAAATATATTATCCAAACAATGCTGTGATGCACACACAATCCCTTGTCCATTCCCTGTCTTTCCAAAGCTGCCACCTCCAGTGTTTCCCAAGCAACGTGTATGAATTACCACCTCTATAAGGAAGAAGATAAGAAGAGCCGGCTGGATTAATGTCCAGCTTTTGGTAGCATCATTCAAGGGAAATGGGAAGTAAAAACAAATGGTGGCTGCCCATGAGCCAGCCATTCAAGTTATGAAAGATTATAGCACACTTTTCCAAAGTTAACCAACCCGAGGTTGGCAAGATATACACTCTTTAGATTAGAAAAATTTCAAATGGCTTAGCTCTCATTTGATAGCCATTGCACTTTCCTGTAACAAGGACACTGAATTAACTATGACATTTCAGTCCCTTTATGCAAAGTCTAAGCAGGTTATCCAAGTAAGTCATTGAGGAAGGAAATTATGGATCAATACATGTTGGGTTTGTTTTGTCTGCAGTCCTGTCTCCCCATTATACCTTGGAGTGTATAATTAGAAGCATAAGAGACATTTCAGGAGATGGCAGCATTTTCCCCCTACCTGAATTAACAATTTTTACATGTAAACTGGTTATTGTCAGTGTCTTAAGACACAAGCCTATGAAATATGTGATTTCTGTAACTCTCCAAAACTCAGAGGATTATGAGCATCCTAAAGTAGCAAAGAGATGAAGATACCTGCCATGGCTTTCTCATACTGCAAAACACTTAGAGGGCTGCTTTTGGCCATCTGAGCGCTTCGTGTCTACTCTGAAAAAGGACAGATGGCAGCCCAGTTGGGATCCTGTTGGAGCCAGAGTCCTCCTTTCCCTGCCCCTCTCCCCCAAACTGCCTCTGAGGTTGGTCTTGCAACTTCAGACAGCTTTTCCCCACAGCTGTCAGGGAAATAATTGGGCTGTTAGGGTGAAGGAGGAAACACTCTGAGATTAGATTTCCAGCTTGTCTAGTTGCCATAGGACTGCACCCTTTATTTATTTTTAAAAAACTATTCTAACATAGCAATCAGCTAAAAATGCAGTGTAATTAGCAAAAGTTTGGGCTCAGCTCAAACATTTAAAGTTGAAAATTGCCAAGCATTTTCACTGGATAGCTATGATAAATCTACTGAAAGTCCAGAAAAATCCACCTTAGGAAAAACACTACCATATTGGGAAATGGTGGTTTTCTCTCGTTTCAGCTAAAAGCATCCAACTAATGAGGCATCTCCGAAAGTAATGAGCTAAACTGTAAGATCCACCTGCATTCAAAATGGTCATGAGATTTCAGAGAACAATTGTGGATAGGATTTTTTAAAAAAGGATTCTTTGGTTTGGTTTTTCATGATGGCTGGTGCTGATATCGGGCATCTATCTCAGGCAAGAGATACTGGGAGACAAGAAGGAAGAGCAAGTCAAGGAGGACACAGCTGTGTGTATAAAATGCCTGTCCTGCATCCCATAAACTATCCTGTGCCCATCAAGTGCAATAGGAGATGCAATCACATCAGTAACATTGAAGCAAGGTTCAGTTGCCAGTCTGGTTGGCTTTTTTGCATGGAATGAGAGGGAAACATGCTGCCATTCTCCTCAAACAGCAAATGGCCCTGAGCCAGGACTGTTTATCATGTGCATCAAAGGAACAGAGCCTGCAATTTTCAGCTTTTCATTCGGAATGGCCAGGCCAAACACTCGCTTCATCAGACTAAAAGCCAGGCTCTGATCTTGGGAAAGATTTGGCTCCCATGGTCAACTTTGAAGTTATTTTCAGGCAAAATTCTCTAGTGCAGCTGGGAAGGAAGTCGAAATGGGGTTTTTTGCAAACTGAATTAAGTTGCGGGATTGCTGGAGTTAACAATTTGTGAATGTGAACTAGGAGACCCTTCCCCTGCAGGACAGGTCCACAATCCAGGTCTCAAAAGCCCCTAACCATGGACTACCAGTACTCATAGTTGCTGGGGGCAGCCTCAATGACCGAATCTGAATGCCGCCATCTAAATTTTGAACACTGGCACAAATCAGCATTATTGTTGCGGCATTCCAGAAACTTAAAATAGTGGCTCATAGCTGCATCCTGCTGTCACCAGGTAAACTCAGGCTGGGATCCAGGTGATGTATGAAGGCACATCAGTGGGCACTATACCAAGGGTCTCCTGAAAATCCATGGAAAACCAAGACATTCCAAAACTATGGATTTCACTTCCACAGGATGTGGTGATGGCTACCAACTAGGTTGGCTTTAAAAGGGGAATGCATTGATTTTGTAGGATAAGGGATTTATCTAGTCCTGATGACTATATGTTCCTTCCAGTAGCAGAGACAGAATGTCTGCATACATCAATTGCTGGGAAACATATTGTACTCATGTGGGTTTCTTGGAATATGGTTCTAGGTGGGTTCTTGATATGATCCAGTTTGGTTTGTTCTTTCTTTCTTCTTCTTTCTTTCTTCGGGTATGTTTACACCGTTCAGTACGGTGCAGGTCTCTCTGAACGGCTTACATTTCTTCTGGTCTCATCCAACCTGCTGTGTCTTATTTATTTATGTTATCTGTGACACTGAGAAGGGCAGGGTACAAAAATGTTAAATAAATAAATAAATAAACCTGATGCCAACCCTGCCTGTGGGCAACCTCTGTTCAACCCAGAATGGCAGGCGACTGCCATTTGGCCAGGCTGATCAAACTGTAACTGTCATGATACTTATCTTCAGGGGACAGAAAGAGAGCAGTAGCTCAGTCTCAGTGAGGATGGTGATCATATAAATTAATTCAAGGTCTACTCTCTGAACAAAGCAGGGCAACCTTATTAACAATTTATCCTATAGAATTAGTTGCGGTTTTGGAGATGGCATGGCATTTTAAGATGTGTGCATGTGTGTTTTCACATATATAAAATAAATTCATCATATTTGTTATTTGTTACTTTCCATGTTTAAGGATATATATAAGAAAAGCTGGACTTTTCTCTTCCTAATCAAAGTGATATTATAGAATTGGAAAAGATCCATTTACATTAGGTGTTAACAATAAGTTAAATGGGGGTGGAAATGTTAGCTAGTAATGTTGTAATAATAATTCTACTATGGGTGTGAAAGCTAGACAGTGATGAAATCTGAGAGGAAGAAAATGGAGGCATTTGAAACATGATGCTTTGTGATGAATACTCTGGACAGAAAGAAATATGGACAAGTAGGTCCTAGATCAAATTAAACCAGAACTTTTCCTGGAAGTAAAAATGATGCAGTTGAAGTTGTTTTACTTTGGGCACATCACGAGAAATCAAGACTCACTGGAGAAGGATCAGAAGACCATCATGCCAGGGAAAGCCAAAGGCAAGGGAAGAAAAGGAAGACCAACTCTGAGATGAATTGACTCCACAAAGGAAGCTACAGCCTTGATCTGAGCAGGGCTGTCAGAAACCCCATGACATTTGCAGGGGCTTTCATTCAATGGATCCATGTAAGTCAGAGACAACTTGAAGGCACATAACAATGAAATAGCACATAGTAAATTATATCTGTGCCACCAATAGAATCAAGTTAATCTAAGGAATCACAGGGTCACTAGATGAGACAAGAGAACATATTAATGCAATAATTTACTCTGGAGAAAAGCAAAACAACACTTGAAATTATCTAGAATATTCTATATCTAGGAATTATGTTGCATTAGATCAAGGCTTGGCATTCAAGGCGCAATGGCAGACATCAGTTTCCCAGATATATGATTGTATGAGTGGCCAACTAGCTGGCCTAACATGCACATATTACCGGTAAGAAGAGTTGGTTGTTTTCCCTTAGCAGAAAAATTGATGGTCAGTGATTTTCCTGGAGGAAAGTTGGCATAGCTCTTTTAATGGATCTGATAAAGCTGACAAGGAGATCTGTCCGCTTTGTGTGCAATATTTTTATTGGCTCGAAGTTTTATTGGCTCAAAGTATGAAGCCTAACCATTCGTGCAAAACAGAAAAAAGAGCAGCACTTGTTTGGCTGGAAGTGGGAAAAGAAGAACATCCAAAGGTGGGGAAATAATGACTTGGAACTTGTGGGCATCATCTGAGGTCATTATACATCCTCAACGTTATACATCCTCCCGGAGCATTGAGGTTCATGGGGTATCAAGACAGGGACTTTTGTGTAGCAGGTACAGGACTCCAACTGTGGAACTTAGGACCAGAAAGCTCCTCCTCATTATTTGTTATTAAACATTTGGTTTATAAAGCTCTACTGTTCCATGTTTTCCATGGCACTCCTTGAGTTTAGAGGGTTCTTTTTTAATCGCAATGTATTATTCTATGTGTTTCATGGTTGTATTTATTCCTTTCATATATTTGATTATAAATCTTCATGAGCATTCATTGAATGGAGTGGCACTTTAAAACAACTCCAAACAAGCAAGCAAGCAAGCAAGCAAACAGCAGCTGGTTGGAAGACTAAGTAGAGGGGCAGATGAGCTGTTCACCATTTCCCGTACTACAGAGGATGAAATGTACCGAAGGTCTAAATCACTGCAGCAAGTTTTCAATTTGCAAGTGTAATTTTTATGGAAATCTGTGGCTTATGCAGCAGCAAAAATGCGAGCCAAAGTGGCCACCCTAGGGGCAGCTGCAAGTTAAGACATGTGGCTAATGTTCCACATTTCTGTTTCAGGCTAAGTGTTGAGAGGAGAGTTCATGTCCTATGGAATCTGGTGTTTGTTTCTGCGAGTCGAGAGTAAACAGCGTCTGCAGCCTCTTTCCAATTCCTTCAAAATGGAGCTGTTGATGTCTATTTACCTACAGCCTTGGCTTTTCATTTTGCTACCATGGACCCAATAATAAATTATTAATCTGAAACCGCTAAATGACTGTTCGCAGCAGAAACTGTACGAGGCTAATTGTATGCTTGGAGGCAGCACAGGAGGGGATTGTTTAAGAATTCATCTTTAATTAAAATTACACAGAATTACAGAGTGCCAACTGTGAACAGAAATGAAAACTTGGTAGC